GTGAATTTTTCCTTCTTTAGGGACAATCTCCAGATTTGCAATAATTTTTGACACTGGTCAGTGTCTAATTTATTTGTCTCTCCAGTTTTAGTTCTTGAACTGGGGCTTTGTGCCAAAATTAAGCTTTTCCCCCTGCTATGATGTTGGGTGGTGTGGTGTCCCAGGATTAGGTTGCTCTGGACCCATGAGGTTCAGTGGGATGGATCTTCGTGGTTCTTTCTGGCATCACAGTATAGAGTGTTGGGGACCTCAGAGGCCCTTGGGGCTGGAGTATTCCAATCTGGGTGCTGAAGCTCCAGGGTGGCCACTACTCACAATGCGGCACTCCTCACCCCCTTCCCAAGACCCCCACCTTAGAGTTTTCTGATTATCTTGGGGCTTTCTCAGGGGAGCCCTCTTCTATTGTTGCCTCAGGACACAGAACCTTGTAGGCTCACTAGCTCATGCATGGGTGTGTGTGTCTAGCTATCTCTAATAGCCCTAAAACACTATGCGGGGCATTCCTATTGCCTTTTGGCTTCTTGCTGACCTCTTATGCAGTTCTAGGATAGAAGAAGTCACTTACTATGGTTTCTGATTGGATTTCTTGATCATTACTCCAACCTGTGAAAATTCCAGGCTTTTATTGTGGAAGCTGGGCGGGCAGCCATCTTGTCAGGAAGTCCCCTCCTTTTTGACTTGTTTACAAGAGCTAACATACACCTTAAAGATTGTCTAGGCTAGCCTCTTTATTTTACAGTTAAGGAAACCAAGGGTCAGAGAAAATCAGAATCTCAGAGGCCATCTAGTCTAATCCACACCAAAACAGGAATTTCTTCTCAACAAACTTAGCCTTTGGCAAAGCCTTCTAGTGATGGGTAACTCACTATTTTCTGAATCAATGTATACTATTTTATTGATAGATCTAATAAGTAGAAAGTTTTACCTTATGTCGAACCAGAACCTACTTCTTTGTAATCTCCATCTACTGCTCCTTATTCTATCCTCTGGGACCAAGCATAGGTGAAATGTCTTGTCTAAAGTGTGTGTTAAGATAGAACCCGGTCCTTCTGAGTCCCAGCCCAGAACTCTTCAGTCTACATAAAGCTGTCAGGCATGCTGTGTCAGCTTGGACTACTTCTGTCATGACCTTTGGCTTTTACATCATTCTTGGATCCTGACCTTGTTGCCTGGCTTGTAACATTTTTTTTTTTTACCACTACCTTCTATGTGTTAATGATTAAAAAAAAAGTAATATTAACTATTCATATTTTAAAAGGACTTTAAGGTTTACTTAAGGACTTTAAGGTTTAAGGTTTAAGGAAATACTTTGTTCATAATGACCTTTTGAGTTAGTGTGAGGATTAGCTCTATTTTATGGATGATGAAACTGAGTCCCAAAAGGGGAAACTGACTTACCTGAGGTAATGCAGCTAGTAAGGGTCAGAGATAGGACTTGAACCCACATTCCGTGACTCCATGTCCAGCATGCTCTCTAATTTAACCCACTGTCAACCCTCACCTTCCTCTCTAGTTGGTTCTAGTCTTCATTTCCAACTTTTGCTTTAGTTCTGCCAGTTCTGTTTTCCATCAAGTTGGCCATGGCCTTGGTCTGGCCTCCTCCACTCATGGGTAATTGCAGCACAATTCCCTGTGGCAGTAGAGATGGGAGTCACCAGGTGTGTTCTTCAATGATGGCAAGACAAAACGTCTCTCAGTGATGGCACTGATTCATAAAATATGCAACCTTCAGCAGCAGATCCCTGCAGGAAATTTGTGGAAACATTTTGAACCTTTAGGGCCAGAACTTCTCTGCCAGGAAGTCTCAATCAGATAGACAATGATTAAATTCTTCCTTGGACTAGTTTCCTCTTCCAATGCCCCATTGTGTTATGACAGTGACCTTGACTTCTTGAAGGCTCTACTAGTAGAGAACAAATGCATCCTACCCAGCTGGAAGGACTTCAGGTATTAGTTCTGGTGATATGTACTGTGTGTTATCTAAGGATGAGCTTAGACAATGCAACTAGACCCATAACCCATCACCAGGGGCTTGGCCAACAGAAGATGGAGTTTTTCATCTGTGACAATCAATTAAGCCTGTCTAGAAAAGCCTGGAGGGCTGGAATCTATGTTGCTAGAGGGAGTACCCAAAGAGATGAAATCATGGATCTATACAATGAAATGAATGATCCTTTATAATCAGTCAATCAACAAACATTTGTTAACCACCAACTGCCAACTACCAGGCAACTTACTAAGTGATGAGAATACAACGAAAGGCAAAACCATAGTCCCTGCTCTAAGGAGTTCACAGTCTAATAGGAGAGAAAACTGTGAGATAGGAAGCCAAGAAAAGACACTGTGGGAGAAATAAGAGTAGGAGAAGACATAGCCCTTGGCTTCAGGAAGCCCACAGTCTATTCGGGAAGACAAAACACACGTAGAGTTAATTATAACTTCCATTTCTGTAGTACTTTAAGGTTCACAAAGTACTTTCCTGACAATAGCCCTGTGAGGTAGGTAATACAAAGCATTATTATCCTCATTTGACAGATAAAGAAACTGAGGTCTAAAGGGATGAAGGGGTTACCAAAGGTCACAGAGTTAGTGAGAATCGAGGCCAGGGCTGAAACCCTGGTCTTTGGGATCTATTTTTGTTATTTCTGTTCAGTTGCTCAGTCATGTCTGACTTTTCATGACCCTGTGAACCATCCCATACCAGGCTCATCTATCCTCCATTATCTCTTGAAGTCTGTCCAAAGTCATGTTCCTTGTTTCCATGATACTATCTATCCATCTCCTCCTTTGCCATCTCCTTCTCCTTTTGTCTTCAATCTTTTCCAACCACCAGGTCTTTTTCAATGAGTACCATCTTCTCATTTTGTGACCGAAGTATTTAAGCTTTGGCTTTAGTATTTGACCTTCCAGTGAATAGCCTAAATTTATTTCTTTAAGTATTGACTGATTTGACTTCCTTGTTGTCCAAGGGACTCACAAAAGTCCTCTCCAGTACCACAATTCAAAAACATCGATTCTACAGTGCTCAGCTTTCCTTATAGTCTAACTCTCACAGTTGTACATTGCTACTGGGAGAATCATAGCTTTGACTATATGAATCTTTGTCAGCTAAGTGTTATTTTTAATGCTTTTTAGTAATCTGTCCAAATTTGCCAGTTTTCCTTCCAAGGAGCAAGGGTCATTTAATTTCATGGCTACAGTTGCTGTCTACAGTGATCTTTGAACCCAAGAATATAAAATCTGACACTGCTTCCATTTCTTCTCCCTCTATTTGCCAGGAAATGATTGGGACCACTTGCTAAAATCTTACGGTTTTTTTTTATGTTAAGCTTCAAGACAGCTTTTATACTTTCTTCTTTCACTCTTACCAAGAGGCTTCTTAATTTCTCTTTGCTTTCTGCCATCAGAGTGGTATCATCTGTATATCTGAGATTGTTGACATTTCTTCCAGCAATTCCAACTTTTGATTCATCCAGTCTGGCATTTTGCATGATATACTCTGTATACAAGTTAAATAAATAAGGTGACAACATACAGCCTTGTTATACTCCTTTTCCAATCTTAAACCAATCAGTTGTTCCATGTTCAGTTCTAACTGTTGCTTCTTGGTCCACATACAGGTTACTCAGGAGACAAGTAAGATGATCTGGTACTCCTACTTCTTTGTGGATTTGTCACATTTTGTTGTGATCCACACAGTTAAAGGATTTTGTGTAGTCAATGAAGCAAAAGTAGAGGTTTGTCTTGGAACTCTGCTTTCTCCGTAATCCAGCGAATGTTGGCAATTTGGCCTCTAGTTCTTCTGTGTCTTTGAAAGCCAGCCTGCTCTTCTGGTAATTAAGGAAGAGTCAAATAATATGAGAGATATCACAAGACAGTGTGGACTAAGAATCAGAGAGTCAAGGGTGTATAGCTCAAAGGATGTCTGAACTGGGTTGTTCAGGCTTTCTGTCAGGGCTTGGAAATTAAGCAGGGCCTTAAAAGCAGAGTACGTCATCCTAGGTATGGTGGACCTGAGCCAAGGCACAGGAGGAGGGAATGAGCCTAGCACTGGGAAAGGGGGAGATTGGGGGAAAAAGCCTGACTGAAAGGGGTGTGGGGTTACGCAGGCAAGTAGCAAGTATGGGACAGAGCTAGACAAATAGGGTGGAGCCAGATTTTGGAAGGCTTCAAATGTTGGATTAGTGAGTTTAGATTTTACCCTGTAGGCAGTGGTCCCCAACCATGTGGTAAAAAGGAATTCCTCTTTTACTCCTGGCCTTGAGTTCCACTGAATAAGAGGGATGAGGCAGGAAGAGGTGTTGGCAGTGAAACTTGGAAAGACCAACAGTGTTATCCAGTCTTCTTATACTCTGCTCCCACCCAATTCAATTGCTGCTTTCTCCAAGAAGTCTTCCCTGACTCACGCAGTTGGTCACAACCATCCCCTGCAGACCCTTACACAGCACAATTTTACACTCCTCTAATGCACTGCAATCTTGTTTCTTATGTGTATATGTCTTATTCCCATATTAGACTGTGAGTTCTATAAGGGTGGGGATGATGGTATAGCTGATTTTTGTCTCCTCCAGCACCTAGCATGGGGTTCTTCACTCAGCAGGCACTTAATAGATGGATATTGAATGAATGCTTCCCATCATGCTGCAAATCCCAGCAAAATGTCCAAAGGGGATCTGGTGGAGAGGAAGGATGGGGTAGCTCTTAGAACTATAAAACATTTGAGTTATAAGGAACTTTGAAGACTATCTTACATAATGAGCCTTTCACTTTAAAGAGTCAGCTTAGACAGAAGGATCCTGCCTAGGGTCATATCCTTGCCCTTAAAAGGCCAAGTTGTGGTTTAGGTAGCACTTGGGTCACACCTTCTTGCACATGAGACCCTTCAGAAAACTCCAGCTACCCCAGGTTCAAATTACAGGTTGAATTTACGAGTCAGCCACATGACAAAATTAGTTCAAAACAAAGGCATTTAATGAAATGCCTAGAGGCAGCTAGAAACCTGAGCTTCAAATGTGACCTCAGACATTTACGATTTGTGTAATCCTGGGTAAGACACTTGACCTCTGCCTCAGTTTCCTCAATTGCAAAATGGGGATAATTACAGCACCTACCTTCCAGAATTATTGTGAGAATCAATGAGATAATATTTGTAAAGCACTTAGCGCAGTACCAGGCACGTAGTAGGAACCTAATAAATGCTTGTTTTCCTTCCTTCCTTCCTTCCTTCCTTATCTCCCTTGCTTTTATTATATATTTGCATCCAACAACAAGCCCTGTTTTTAAACCAGGCATACCCTTTTCCAAAATTCTTCTTCTTGCCTGGTCCTTCTAATAGGATTGTTTCACCTCCATGAGGCATTGTGATTATTCCATATTCTCTGCTGATTATAGGAATAAAGATGTTCCAGCCATGGGGCCTGGCGCTTCTTTGGAGTTTGCTTGTAATATCCTCGGCTCAAGCTACACCAAGAGGCCAGGCAATTTTGAACATTGGTCCAGAAGTCTTCAACAAAGGTAAGTCACAGTGATAGGTCAAAAGGATAGGACATGAGGGACTGTCACAAGCTAAAACTATTAGAGCTATACAACATGGAATTAGTAGGTCGTTAGGTCCACATCAGTCAAAGGATTCAATGCCAGGATACTAGAGAAAGATTGCTGACATCACAGTCCTGTGTCCAGAACTCTTTGAAACAACTGTTACTGAACCTTCCTTGACCGTCTGTCCTGCTTTGGAGGAGCCATGCAGTACCAGGGCCAACAATGCTCCTATGGAGACCAGAGATAGGATTCAATACATGACAAGGATTAGAATTCAGATTATGGCTCAGATATGGCTGGAGTTGGGGCTCAGTCTGAGGCCAGTCATATGTTCTAGTCTATAAACAGAGTCAAGAATTAATCTGTGCCTGGGGTTAATGTTTGTTCTGGGCATGAATGAGGGGCTTAGCTCAGTGTGTGTTCAGAGGTTTGAGGAGAGTTTACTGGATCACATACACGGACACTAGGATTTTAGCTTTGAGTTGCATCTGCAACTAGGATTTTTTTCATTGGGGAAGAGGTT